AAAAAAAAAAAAAAAAAAAAGTCACTACTTGCAATGAAAATAAATGTCTGGTCAAAAATAACCATTATAAATGGACAAAGAATAATGTGGAGATATGAAACATAACCATGTGCTATGTATTGCTAATATGTGTTCATAGGAAATAAAGTACAATAAATTTGGGATGTTCTTTTATTCTGAAAGGAAGATATATTAAAAGTTCTCTGAATTGCTCGTCTCTGAAAGGTTTGTTCATTTGCTGGGATTATAATTTTTTCAAACACTAGAGGGGGTATTAGATTTAAAAAAGGCAACTACCTTGAAACAAATGAAATTTACCTTGGTTTGGGTGAATGCAAGGGTTCTCATCCTTAAATTGGTTATGTTTTATTTTTTTATATGATTTTTTTTTTTCAATTTATTTAACAAATACAAATTTTTAAGTAACTGTATTTTAGAGAGCTTGTGTATGTGGTTTTTATACTTCTTTAAAGATACGTAATAGGAAAACACTCTTTCAGTTTACGGTTACAAAAACCTGCCTTCAGAGTTCTAGGTACTTGCACAAGTTAAAATATTCAGTCCTTGGACTAATGTCAAACCTCCGTTTATTTTCACTAAGATTTTTACATTTCCAGTACATTGGCTGCTTTTACATGTTCTGACAAGGTGGGTGGTGATATTAAGCTATATTTTTTTTTTAAGTATTTGTCACCCTGAACAAGTTTGTTATTCAAGAATCTCTTAGCAACATACCATGAGGCATTTATTAATGCTACTTTACATAATTTAAAAACAGCAATACCATGCTACAAAAATGGGGAACATATACCCAGTTAAAAGTTTGCTTTTATATTTTTTTTAGTAGCTGCTGACCAGATGATTATACCTGCTTCTATAGGATAATTTGAAAAAAGGTAGAAGAAATCCTTAGGTCACTTATTCTAACATTTTCCAAAGACACCGTGTCCATAAGCACTTCAATCTAAAATAGCTGATTAGAACAATATAATTTTTCTATTTGTAATAAATGTATGTGGTAATATTACTGTGTTGTACCTGTGCTCTAGTGCTTCAGGAAAATGGTTTATGGTATTGGATTAATTCACAATCTAGTGTTCTGAAGTATATGTCAGGACACTTGACAGTTCAGTAAAAAGACCAAATCTCACTTCCTTTTAGTCATAATCGCTCTTTAAGGCAGGAAAAAAAATAAAAATAATCTATGCAAGATATCTGGGCTTACTGGATAAACAAAAATAAGGAAAGAAGACATTTTTTAGGGAATTAATGCCTACCATTCTTAGTCCTGTTCCTACAAACAAGGATGAAATCGTGGTTCCGTTGTAGTCAATGGCAAAACAGATTAATTTTAAAAAGGCAAAGTTTAATTTCAGTGGTGCTGACTGACTCTTTCAAATGAGATTACTTACGTCTGTAAGTACTTGTGTTTGTCTCAACTCAAATATCTAAAGATTCATAATAGTGCAGTAGATTGGTTTATTTTCTGCCAGGTAACTATGGCACTATACTTGCAATTGCGTTTGTGGGTAGGCTGCAGCATGGAGTCAGTTCCAGGTTCTTAGTTGATATATGTCCAGATTTTTTTTTCCCAACTGAATAGGTCGCTGCCAAACCTGAGGGTATCTGAAGACTCATGACCTGTATCTGATAACCTTACTTGTTTGATAGCCATTTTCTTCCCCCCACCTTTACAAGGGTAACTTTTTAATATTGGCAATGCTGAATTGCTGCCACTGAAAAGTTCCATGATTGCAGATGCCCATGAAATAATTCAGCATGTCAAATTTAAGTACATAATATCAATGATTTTTATGTCCTAACATCTGACAATAGAATTATGGTAAAGATATTGAAATGTGCATTTGTATTTCTGTTAATTATAAGAACATGTACCAGAAAAAATCTTGGCTTTAAATAAATTCTTAACTATAGAGTAATGGAATTTAGTATATAACAAATCCTTCCAGAGAAATCATATAAAAAGAAAACATCCAGTATTTTGCTTTTTAAATCCAGATTTTTAAAATACACAGATCTGTATAATTTATTTTCCACTATATTTTGTACAGAATTATGGTGATTATACTTTCTTTCCTAGAATAGTGTAAAAGTTATTCAGCAATGTTTAATTCACCTTCAGAAGCTGTATCTTCTATAATGGTAATATGTCTGGCACTGAACTTTTAATACACGGCGCTCCTGTGTTGTAGTTTTAGATGCTTCTGACTCCCATCTACAGAAATAAACCCAAACCTGTGAGACAGTGATCAAGTATGGAGGTCTTTTATCATATCCACTGAATGCTACTGAAATATGCCTATACCAGTGATTACATATTTACTTAATTATCTATTTTGCTACTACTGTGCCTAAATGATCGTGACCTATGTCAAGTCTTGGATATGAAGCACCAAGCCTGCTATTGGTAAAAACAGAACTGTAGAAAGGCGGCTGTATACTTAGATCTCATTTCATTTGCTTCTCCAGGGGGTTGTATTAGTAGTGTTTTCATTAGAAATGTTTTTACAGATGTCGGCTATCCAGATACGAAGTCTCTGTGGTAGAGAAGCAGTCAGGAATTTGGCATCCAGAACAGAAAGAAAAAAAGTCAGCTCTGAAAGACTAATTTATAGAAAAATAATTTACTGACTTTCTGATGTATAAATGTACAGTAACCCCATGGTGGCTTTAATATAGAGTAATTGAATTCTTGCAAGTATAGAAATTGTTTTCTATTTTTAACTCAAAAATCCCCCCTCACAAGCCTGTCATTCCTCATCGTAGAAGACTAAAATAGTGCCCGTTTAATAATGCTTTTGAAAAACACCCACTAATTTGTAGACCTACATTTTTTTCTTTTCTTCTGAAGTAGAATACTTGTGGTGATCTATTAGTATTTTGAACAATTTGTGTGTTTTTTTTATCATAAAACATTTTGCCTCACATAGGTACAGACAGTACCCGAGTGTGAAAGTACAGCAGTTTATTGAATATTTGATCAAATGTGTTGTAGTAGGTATGTGGATGCATTGACCCAAACACATTTTGCATTGATAAAACAATCTATATAATCATAATTCAAAGCACATATGGAAACTTTAGCTTTGTTTCAGGGTTCCTACAAAGCATCATTTGACATGAGGGTACATGCTATTTCTAAGCAATATGTAACTTGTATTTTACCATAAAAGGAAACACAAATTTATTTATTTTTCAGGGCAGAATGGTGATTTGTAGTCACTAAAAATCATTCTTTAATGTGATGTTTGAAATCCAAAATAAAGTATAATTGCTTTGCAGCTGAACTAAAGTATTTAGCTGGTTAAACAGTTCACCTGGGTTCTCCCAAAGTAGTAGTTATGATCTTTGCCATTTCAGGCAATGATAAAATTATGTCATAGGGCTCTTCATTTGAAGCAAGTTAGTATCATTGATTAGTGCCACTAGCCTTTTATTTCAGGAAATGATGATTTCCTGAAATAAACTTACCAGTGGGGAAAGCTTGGTTTTCCCTTTGCTTCTTTTAAAGCATAGTCAGTACACCAAACAGTTAGTATGTTGTATCCCAGTGACTGTGTTTTGCAAAAAGAGTGGTCGAGGACTTGTAATGTAACACATGTTAGAAATAAGGATTGAGATGTATTGGCAGGGCTGTGTCTGGAAATGGACATACGACTGTATCATCTGTCAAAGATAAGAGTTCTATTCTGCCAGGCACTGTACCCACACAGCACTAATAGTCTTCATCCTAGAAGCTTAGTGTATTATTCAAACTAGTGCCTTTTTATATTGTTCTATTTATACTATAAAAATTGATACACTTATGCTATAAAAATATACTATAAAAATTGATGCCTTTGATGCCACATTTTCATGAATGCTACTGAGTGTCCACAATTGTAGAGGTGGATTTGGGCTGTTTTTCTGAAAAATCTTGTAAGCCTTGTGGAAAAAGGTGTAAAAACTAAGTTCCTGTGTATACAATCCTTGCCCTAATTTTTGAGAGGGAGTATCACTGGGGGGCTGGAATCGATGATCTGTGAGGTCCCTTCCAGCCCCTAACAATCTATGAATCTATGAAAATGTATGTTGTATATGGACTCTATCTTTACTTTTCTTAAATTGGTATGCATATGAGAATGCTTGAAATATCACTTTTTGTTAACTCAGTTTCACAAAAGAGATATTTATCATCCAGAATAACCTAGAGCAAACTCCACAAGATACCACAGGCAACAGTATATGACAACTTACCATGTACTACTTGTAACATGTATATAGTGTCATGCTACCCAAGAGGAGAAGCTGCTACTTGCAAAACCTTGTACCATGTAGACATGGTAGACACTGCCTCTATAAAGAGTAAAGGTTTAATTTAATTTTTCCCCTCCTGAGTGGTTTCCCTTTCAATTTCCTACCAACCAAAACTTAACACACCTGTACTTCGAGGACAAGTACAAAATACTGCACTCAAGATGGAATAATTGCATGCACAAATACAGAGTGGGGGATAATTGTCTAGGCTATATTACTCCAAAGAAGGACTTGCAGCTTACAGTAGACCAGGAGCTGAATATAAGCCAATTCTGTATTGTTCCAGGACAGGGAGGAAGGAAGCCAACAGCATACTGGGTTGTATTAACAGAAGTATCACTTGCAAAGCAAGGGAAGTGATCTTTTTTCCTGCTCTATTCAGTGTTGATGGGTCTTCACCTGCAGTTTTTGGGTCCTACACTTCAAGAAAGATGTGAACAAATTAGAAAGAATCCAGCAGACTGACAAAAATAATTAGATGCCTAAAAAAAATTGATATATGAAGAAAGGCTGAAAGAACTAGGATTATTTAGCCTGAAGAAGAAGAAACTGAGGTGTAGAAGGGGGGGGATTTGATAACAGTCTTCAAATATCTGAAGGTTGATTATAGAGAAGATGGAGATAGGCTTTTCTCTGGCTGTAGGGAACAGGACTAGGAGCAGTAACCTCAGGTTGCAGCAGAAGAAATCTAGGTTGGAGATTCAGAAGTTTCTCACTCTGAGATGGTCGAGCATTAGAACACGCTGCCTAGAAAGGTTGTGGAATCTTCATCCCTGAAAGTTTTCTAGAACAGACCAAAAGGACACTTGGCTGGAATTAATACAGGGTAGAGATGCACCATAGCCCAGGGGTTGGCAACCTGCAGCTCACAGGCCAAATCCTGCCCACAGAGCCATTTAATCTCATGTGGATGTAGGGGCTTCAGCAACTGGACTGATCCAGTTGGGTCAGTGGCAGGTGGGCATGCAGTGGGTGGGCACGGGGACCCAGCCCCACTGCTTTTTCCACGGTATCCAGTGCCGCTGCTTTTCCTTGTGGACAGCTAGTGCTTTTCCCTGCAGCCACAGGGGGCTTCAGCAGCACTCACTTTCCCCTGCTGCCATTGGAACGAGCACTGGCTGCAAATGCTGTCCGGGGTACTTTGTGTGGGGAGAAGGCAGGGGGGCAGCATTGGTGCCAGGCACTTTCCCATACAGCAACTGGGAAAAGTAGCAGTAGCTGCCTTCTATTCACTGGCCCACCTCTGACCTGAACTGGGTCAATTCAGCCCCACAGCCTGAAAAGGTTGCTGTATCCTGCCTTAGATTAATTGTATCAGAGATGCATAAGCTTTCAAGAGTGCCAGCTTGCTTCATCAGATGCTGTCATATGCATATGTTTCAGTTAGATTCCCTTCCTGTTTCCCTGCAAGCAAGGCCAGCTTTGAAACTGCCCTCGTTTTGTTTCAAGGCTGTTTTGAAGCCTTTTGTTTTGTTTCAATTTTGCCGTTTCCAGCTCAAAATGAGTCAAAACAGTATTGAAACAAAATACCCAGCGAAATTTTGCACAGCCCTCTGCTGGACTCTCCAAATTGTCTGTGTCCTTTCTGTAGTGGGGGGGCCCAAAACTGGACACAGTACTCCAGATAGAGCTTCACCAGTGCTGAATAGAGGGAAATAACCACTTCCCTTGATTTGCTGGCAACACAATTACCAATATAGCCCACTAGGGTGCTAGCCTTCTTGGCAACAAAGGCATGCTCTTGGCTCATATTTAGCTTATTGTCCACTGTAACCCCCAAGTCCTTTTCTGCAGGGCTGCTGCTAAGCCAGTCAGTCCCCAGCCTGTACTAGCAAGTGGGATTGTTCCTCCTAAATGCAGGACTTTGTACTTGTCCTTATTAAATCTCATGGCATTTCTTTTGGTCCAATCCTCCAATTTCTCTAGGTCTCTCTGAATCCTAACCCTACCCTCCAGCATATCTACTACTCCCCAAGTCATTTGCAGACTTACTGAGGGTGCACTTTATGCCATCTTCCAGATCACTGATGAAGATATTGAACAAAACCAGCCCCAAGACCAACCCCTGGGGCACTCTACTTGATACCAGCTGCCAGCTAGACATGGAGCCCTCAACTACTACCCTACTACTACGCTCTGGGCTTGATGATGGAGCCATTTATTATTTGTTTACTGTTTAATTTTACTTAGCATTTACAATGGGCATAACTGTGGTTAAGTTGGCTGAATTATTTTCTGAACTACCCACCATTAAAATGAAGTTTTGGGTGTAAGACTGGTACTAATTCTCACTTGAAGTCAATGAGGCTTCAGAGGTGCAACTGGGGAGAAACTAGACTGAAGAATCTTTTCTCCTCCTTGGTGATGCCTGGGTTAGAATGAACACAGCTTGATTTCTTTTTTTTCCCCAAATGCAAAATACAGGCCACAAACCCCGGCTGGTTAACTCTACAAATTAGATTTGATTCATTAGGAGTAAGCATGGACCACACATGCTCTGCTGTTTTAACAAAGCAACGTGAAGATTTGAATTGCACTATAAATGACTGAAGAGACTGCTAAAATATGTCACTAAATGCGAGACCTCTACTACATTGACCGCTTGCAGTGACACTGTCAACTTAGATTTCCAACTGCTGCTACTAATGCCAAGTCATTAGCTGTTCTTCACACTAAGAATCTAGTTCAGACAGTGGCTTAAGTTTGTGTGAATCCATATTTCTGAACAAAATTTAAATGTTTCAAAAGTTTTAGCAAACACTAGTGGCCACATGTGAGCAGCCCATTGGATGGGACACAGCAATAGTTGCCACAAAGACACACCCTCCAGCTAGAGGTGATAGGACTTCTGCTTTGCTCCTCCTGCCCTCAAGGAAGCTTGTCAGTGAGTGGAAGAAGATTGCTCCATCAACTGTTGTCGCCATGTCACCAACTGTTGAGGCTTCCCCCAGGCTTTGGGTGGTCTCCAGCCTCCGCTCCCTGATCATGAGGACATTGTCCCCATCCAGGCTCTGGTGGCAGAGTCTGCCTTGGCAGCAGGCAGCTCCCACAGGTAGGGAGCAATTTCCTGCTCCCTGCTACAAATTTGCTGCTAGTTGGCCGTCTACCCATGCTGTACTTTGCAGTAATTACTTGGTGGTTAATCTGCTACTTGCATTTGCAGGTAGGAAATTAACTGCCAAGTAGAGCAAATTGCTGCACAGTAAGGGTCAGCACATGTTGACAGTAACTCTTACTATGCAGTAATTAGCTCCACTGTGTAGCAAAGCATCTCATGTAGACATGTCCCTTGATTACCAATTAGCAAAGTACAGAGAACTTAAAGAAAGAGGGTTGTAATCTTTTTTGAGTAACTGCCTCATTTTAATAACTAAAGCTGAGAGCTTGCTAGGAGAACCTTGGTTAGTCTACTGTTATCTTAAAGAAACAGCTGTATAACACAGGGAATTCGTGCAGGCTAGTGGAGTGCTAAACCTAACTTTGTCACTGGCTTGTGATGAGGTCTTCTGTCTGCCTTAGTTTCCAAATCTGTATGATCAAAACAACTCTGCTGCACAGAGTGTTGTAAGGATTAAGTAGGTAATGTTCATAAAACCCTTAAAAATGAAGTTGAAGTATTGTTTATAATATCCTTTATATTGAGTGAATAACTAATTGTGAGGGCTTTAGTGAATACTTTTATAGGAAAATCATTTCCTGACTTATTAGTATTTCAATACTAATAAAATGAATCCTCCTTAGCCTAACAAATGTGATAGATAATGTTCAAAGTGAAACTTAAAGGGGTTGGGGTGAGGTATTAGTAAAATAACCATAAGCCTCTATGAAGCCAAAGGTCTCTGTCACAGAAAAGCAGACAAAAAAAGGAGACATACACCTCATCATTGAATTCAATTTTAGTGATAAGACTGTAAATTTTCTAAACTGGCCTGGAGTTTAGCATAAACACTCCAAGGAGCCGCTGGACCACAGAGAGAGAAAAAGGAAAGCAATTGCTAGCTCTGGCTGCTTTTCCATTGTAGGGAATGCTTGCTATCAGCTCTGAATCTCACAACTTTAAAAATCTCCCTATATATCTACCAGTTACCAGCATTCTTGTAATGGTGAAAAATATCTGATCTCTGGGGAGCAGCAAGAAGGGGGATGGAGAAGAGAGCAGATGCATTGCATTTAGGCCATGACTAACAGCTGCTACAAAGCCTATTTGGCAGTCAGGTCTCTCTTTTGCCACTTACTCCTTGGCTAGTGCTGCTGAGCTTAGATTAGAGTGAAGAGTCCATCCATTTTAAGCTGGTGATAAAATTTTGATAAATTGTGCTCCAGAGGAAACATTTGCACTCTTATGGTGCACAAACAGGAGAGGGGGTGAGCAGGCTTCTCTTACACCCAAATGAATTTTAGTGAAATTTATTGATGAATGATGTGAAAAATACAGTGGTCACATGCACAGAGAAGCTACATTTTAATCTCTACATATTTATATTGAAATGAGTCACACAATATCAAGTCTAAGTGTTTGTTGCACAACTTTCTTAATAATACATTCCTCTTAAATTTACATAGTCATTATAGGTGCTCTTATAACAAATAACCAAGTTTCCCTCCTTCCCCCAAGCTACTGAATAAATTATTCACAACATTTTTCTGTCATTGTCCACTAGCTCCAGTGGAACTATCCCACCACTATAAAAGGGAATAAAGTACCTTAGCCTGAACAAACACGTCTAGAATTAAAAAATAAATGGCTATCCATGTCTTCATTTTGCTGACTGCTTATTTTACCGCTCAAGTTTCAGATAAAAACACATTTCATGCTGTAAGGAATGCAATCTGTTACAGAGCATGAACAACATACCAACTTGTGTACCACAAAATAACAAGTTTGTGTGAGTACAGGCAGGACTGCTGTTTATACTGCCAGATTCAAACTTTTAGTTAGATAATTTTTGGCAGTGAAAGAACTAGCCTGTTACTTATATACCAGTTAATACTTTTAAAACAAAACAAAACAAAACCCTTCCTTCCCTCTCCCAAAAGAAAAATTCCTTTTTATGGCCCCATAAGTCCTACTTTAACTGTATTTTTTATGTTGTAATAGATATTTTGGGAAAAGTTATAGTAATTTCCATCTTTCTCCAGCAAGTAAAAATAAAAACTGCTGTAATATTTTAATTATGTTTTAACACAAAGTTTTAAGAGTAGTAAATTAAGATTGAGGCAAATGAAATACGTTGACTTTTATGTTAACAGGTTTAAGGTAGAATTTGTTGCTTTTGAATTAGCTATAGAAGAGGCTATAGCCATTTCCAGTCATTTGCTTTTGGTAGATAAGATTCACTTACATGAAAGGACAGAATTACATAATAAACCATATAAAATGCTATGCAAGATTTTTTAATTAGCATGTTGAATGACAGAAGGGAAAGCAAACAGGAATTACAGTTAAAGATTTTCTTTAAGACATAAAATGTTCTTTCTCTGTTTTCTAGGGCAGTGCCTCAGTGGTAGGGCATCAGCCTCAAAGTGCGTAATTTTCACCGGAAGAAATTAAATGTAATATCAGTCTTCAAGGGGAATGTTCTGAGGGTGGGTAAGAAGCAACAGCAAGCGTGAAACTTTCATTGGCCGGAATTTCTGGCTCACGCTGATACTAACTTTTGTTCTTGTTTCCTTCACCTTTTAAAAAGAGACTTTTTAAGTTTCTTAATGGAAGATTTAAAATCTTACTTTTATTCATGCATCCTCATAAATACATGTTTTTAAAATATCACAATCTAAACGGCTTTTTCTAGGTCCATTTTTGTTATCATAGGATCTATTTTAATGGCTATTAAGCTACAGTGTCCGTACCTTATCTTTGTCAGTTAATGTATCTAATTCCACCATTCCCGGAGGGAATAAACCTGAAACTAAAGCCTGCAATATATTAAAGAATCAAGAACGCTTATGCAGAACAAACAGAGGATTTAGCTTGAATAAACAGCAGAGATCTCAGTGTCTTTTATGTCCAGGGCTCAGAACTAGAAGAAGAAAATGACTATAAATCAACCCCATGAAACAACATAACATAAATGTTGTATGTTTATTTAAAACTTTATACAATCATTTATCTGGGCTATAGCTCAGTTTCAAAAAGTGCTCTGCTGTAATGAGGCACTGAAGCTAGCAGTGATCAAGAGTAAAAAGACAGATAGTCTTCAACCAGAATTTGCTTATGGGAAAAATGAAAAGCACTTAAGCAGACACAAAGTACCTACAGCCAGTAGATCAAGCGAGAGGATAACACAGTAATAACAAAAACTTTGATAAATTTTTTCCTGTTTCTCTTCAAAATATCACATTTCTTGTAATGTGACATTGTTTTGAGAACTAGGAGGCAGCAATTTATGCCTTAATTTTCACACTTGAATAAAGGCTGATTTGTTGTCACTATGTGAAGTATGACATGTTTTTCCATAAGAATTAAGATTAAAAAAAAGCAGGCTGCAACTTCATCTTAACTTGCATACCAGAGGGAGGGCCTCTTTAAATGTGCTGCTGTGTACTCTCCCATCTGTAACAATGCTTAGGGTTTAGAGAGATGATCGTAACGGTAAGTATTGTTTGCTGTTTGTGGGAGACTAAAAAGCCAGCATATGTATTTACTCTCTAAAGAGGCATGGTCAACATCAGACATACTATAGTAAATGTAATGCAGATTTTATTGTGAGCAAATGAATGCAACTTTCTTCTGTACACATGGCCAGATTCTACCACTTTTGCACTGGATGCGTCTACACGTACATTAAAACACTTTTACTAATGCACATTAAATTTAGTACCTCCAATATGAGGCACTAAATAAATGTACATTAGACTGTGCTAATGCATAGTAGCACAAGCATATTTTTTTTAGGTGATGCTTAATGCACAGTAGCCGATTCTGCTGCACGTTAGCATATTAGCGCTGTTGTTTTTACACACTGCTTTAATGCACAGTAGAATCGGCTACTGCACGTTAAAGTGCACGTGTAGATGCACCCACTGCATAGCTTCTTATTTCTTGAATAGTCCCAAAGTGGAATTTGGCAGTTCTACTAAAGAAGTGAAGTACCATTTAACATTGTATGGCAAAACCTGGCTCAGAGGTATCCTGATCTCTTGAATTTGTAGTCTTTCACTCCTGTGTAATAGATGAAAGGTGATTGGTTTCCTGCAGTACCAGGCCTAATGTCCTGCTAAGAAGCTCCGTAAACTCTCATAGTATGGGTAACAAGCAGGAGGAACTCACCCTCC